GTGTCATTTAGACAGAGCATAGGGAGCTGGGAGGGGAGGCATTTGTGAAAATCCTTCCAGGAGACAAGGGAATCGTTTCATTCACTGTAAGACCAGGCGTGCTCAACAGAAATTGAGCACATCAGTAAAACTACTGCCAGAGGCAGAATGTATGCTGCCAGCCGTGCTGCATAACTGCACTGGAAAGAGAACACCTGAGGTTAATGCTACATTTTTACACGTTACAGAGCAAAATTATGATTTACAGCATCAAAAAGGTTGAAGTATAGCTTTGAACAATGGGTGAACTCCAGCAGCTACAAATGACTTTCTATAGCTGCGAGCGTACTAATTTTGTGATTGAGAGACTGTTTCCCCTTTTTTTAGTAGCTACGTATGATTAAATATTTATGGAGAGCACCGAGTCCAGCCAGCCAACAAAGGTTGACTGGTTCCTATGTGCTGGCCAGCAGAGAGCTCTCAAATCAGGGGCATAACTTCCCACTCACACATGGTATCGCCTAAGGAAAAATGCAGCAAGCCACTTAACATCCCAGTCCTTCAGATTCAGCAGATGTCACTTTTCAAGATGTAGTTACTGTGGAGACAGAAAGCACAACACGACCACCAGATAGGCCTTCTGAAAGCATTTATAATTGGCTTATGATACTCATATTGCTAATTATCTGTTTTATTGTCTCAACACTTACCCTATTCTTTCCTTTTGTGATTCATTTGAAGGAAAGTGACAGCAGTACAAAGAGCAGACTTTTGAGATGGATTTGAGAATGCTATGAGTTGATACAGAGCAGGTAGTCCATGAAAAGATGGCATTAGAAAGAAAAGTCATTCACTGAAGTAAGCAAACAGTGGACACCTCTACTGGAAGTGAAATTTCAAGAGTTACAGACACAGACTGAATAAATGAAGCATGTCTGATGGCCAGAATATTAACTGACGACAAATGAAGATTCTCAACACAGCCACATTCTTTGGAAGTTGACTACTGTATTGCTTCTAAGGAAGACTGAAGTCAATGGACTGTTTTAAAACCACTTTTAAGAAAGATAGCCAGTTTGTTCTGGGTAACTCACACCAAGCATGTGTCCAGCAGTTTGAAAATGAGTAACATGCATAACTGACTTAATTTAACTCAGGAGGACTGAGATTCTCACTGGACTCACCAGTGTTCCTTAACTTTCAGAGGAAGGAACGCATTACACAAAACTCCCACCTCCAGTCTCAAACATAAAGGCAGCTAAGTACCACCACCTTCAGGAATCCAACCCTTTTGCTTGAAAGCTTTGTGTTTTTTAACATAAAACCCACACATTGCTGATGAATTCAAGTACACTCTTCAGCAACTAAAGCTTCCACTTAACCATACTGCAAAACCTCAGTTTTCACAGTTGGGTGCCAACTTGCCTAGAAATGCTACATGACCTGTCTCATGCTGGTACTGCACATCACTTATTGACTTCAGCATCACACTCAGGGACACACAGCTCATGCTGTCAGAGTTATCACTGCAGAAAATGTATGGGAAACAGAAAGGCTAAAAAAATAAAATCAAATTAAAAAAAAAGGCACGGTTGGACTAAATCATCTAGCAGAGCTTTTTTCTGTTATCAAAAATTATAGAGATCTGTTTTTTCCTAAGGAACGATACTGCAGATGATTCCAGAAGATACTGCTGAACTGAAAAATGCAGAGCTTTGAGTCTGGATGGCGTGAATGAGAAAGTTTAACTTCCAGCCTTCCTAAGCAAGAAAGGGAACTCAGATATCCTGGCATAAAGTACCAGCTTCAATTCTCCGACTCATTTCAAACAGAAAAATCTGACAAAGCAACGTATCACCAAGAAATCAAGCCTGTTGTAGCTACATCTGACCTACTGCCACTCTGAGCTGGCACATTTCTGTGGCACCATACAGCATTTTGCAAAAACACTTGATTGGTCCTGACAGTAATGCAGCTTTTGGTGCTCAGTGCTGAGCAAAAGCAAACTATGACTTCAGACTGCAGAGACTGTACAAGCACCTCTACACTGCCATGTCCTTCACCTACTGCTAAATTAAATTCCTTTCTGTAAGAAAAGCCTTCCTGAAGAATTTCTGACCAGCTATAATATTGAGAATGCAAACAATGTGGGGTTTTTTGTTTGTTTTTTTGATTTGCACGCTGTCTAGAGAGAGGTGAGAGAACAGCAATCTCTGCTTCATCATGTTCCCAACAAATAGCAGCAAAAAGTTATCGCAACACCTCTGAAAAACAAGAGTTGGCACATTATCAGAGGAAGGAAGCAGACAGAAGAATCACCTTGACAAGATTGACAATAAAATCTACATTGAAATAAACATACTCCACTCCCTCAAAAAATAATTTAAAAAAAATTAAAAAGAAAAAAATCTAGAACAGGTTATGTTCACTCTCAGGCTATTCAAAATGCACATTTCTAAAAGCACCACTGATTTTCTATCAACTCCATAAGCACAAAGGCAGTCGGCGTAGGTTGAGGGAATGAAATCACTCAGGAGAGGGATCACTGTGTTCCCTGCCATGGCAGAAAGTCCTCTTGGCACAAAGCAGCCCAAAAATGGCATTTTTCCCTACCTCACCAGATTTGGAAACCATTTAAAGACTAGACAAACAATCACAATTATATTCCCAATTTCATTTGCTGGCCTAGTTCTCTTCTGATTGCAACTGGGCCATTCAAAGCATTTGGAGTGTCTTAATATCCCCACAAAAGAAAAAAAACCTTCAGCAAACTAAATATGCAGTAATTTCATATCATCTAAACAGAGCCTAACTCTACTTAGTCAAGTAACTGCTGAACTGTAACTATGCTGCATTTACAGAGCTTTGCAAAAATGCAGTTTTTCAAGGGCTACAAAAAAAAAATTCACATTTTTCTCTCACTGAAATACTGAAAGCAGAATGTGCTCCACTGGAGATGGAACGGTGGGCGTTTGATGGCATATTTTAAATAGTATTCCTCTTTGTGAATGCGATGTAATGCCACCCAAGGGGGAGATTAAAAAGAAGTCTGTAATTTGCAAGTCCATTTCAAAGTCATATCGAGTATGATGTGAAATTTAGGATAGGATTCTTGAGAGAAATCTCCTAGGAAAATGTGTATGTACCTCAGGGAATCTTTGGATTTGCTTCTTCACACTGGAAGGCTGCTCTGTCTTTTGACATTTCAGTATTGTTTACACTATGCATCTAATTTTGGAACTAGAAACCAGTTTATTACAAAGGTGTATCTTTCCCTAACAATAAAACAGTTCTCTACTGCAACCTCTAAGGTTTCTAAAATCCCTTACTATTAAAACTTCTATTTGTAGTGAGGATATAGCAGTTGCTTTACAATTAGGGATTAATCCTGCTGTCAGGTGTTATGGAGGTAACTGATATTTACATCTGTGAAAGACCTTCCTTTATGGCCATGGGTAAAAAAATAAAAAAATAAAAAAATAAAAGAATTGCCTGCATTGATCTGATCATTCTCAAATAATTGCAAAGAATATCATGCTTTGAGGCTTTCGGTTGTCATCAGCAGGGATTAGGAGGAAATACTCTCTTTAATAGACTTCTGGTGAAAGGGGTTTTTTGTTTCCTCTGTGTCACCTTCCCTGAAGCATTACAGGCAGGCCACAGCTGGATCTGGGGAGAGGAAAAGATTAAGATCATTTTCCTGAAGTCATATTTTCTTCCTGAGATGCCCAAGCGACGATGATTCAAATTCATCACCCAAACTGACGTCAGGAAAGAATCTTCCCTGGGGTCACAGCAGGAGAAGGAAGGCTTCTGTCTTCACTTATACAATCTACATGGTTTGATTAGAGAGAGAAGCAGTTTGATCACATAATCAAATCCCATTCATGGAAAAGCTTCGGAGTGTCAATGAGACTGCAGTCTTTCCTGACTTCTTCCCAAGGCCCCAGTAACTCGAAGGATTTCAGTCTTCTGCTGTACAGTTCTGTACTGAACAATTTGTATTTTTATTCTAGTGTGGTATCAGTCAAAGGAAAAGCAAACACAGAAGTTCACAGCATACAACTCATTTCCTTTTGCTCTTATATTCTGATTAGCTTAATTTTGCTTATTTTTGGCCTTGCAGAAGTTAGGCATCCAGCCTTATTTAATCTTCTGTGTCCCTGTGTGTTAGTGGAGAGAGATTACTTGTTCTCCAAAACCCTGCCTTGAAACTGCCTCACTAACCACAAAGAGAGCCAGACAAGAAACCTGTGGTTTACATGGCACAAGGCAGGCAAATTTTAGAAAATTGTTATGAAGAAACCATGGGAAAGAAAGGTCTCAAGTATTTTATGCTTGACTGTTTTCAGATCAAAGCAAACAGTGACAGAAAAGCTCTTAGGAGGATATCTAATCCATTATGAGGGAATGATTCCCTCCACCAGCAAGACACAGCAAGATGCTGGCACAGCACTGCCTTGCTTCACTCTGCACCAAGGGTGTTTGTTACTGGCATCAGTACCTTCAGTTTAGTTAGTCCAGAAAAACGAAACAAAAGCAGACTTTGCACTGCAAACATGTGACACCAGGCTTTTGTAAGCTGAATGCAGGTCTCTAAACATGCAACAAACACCACAGCCATAGTCAGGCTATTATTTGGCACTCTGATCAATGCAACGTCGCAAGTCTCTCATCCCAGTAATTCTCTTCTTTTGAATTGATATTGGGTGAGATTATTAGAACACAGCCAGAAAATTATGATCACAGTTTATACTCCTAGCTTTCACAAATGATAGGTTAAGGTTTAGCAGTGCAGTAAACTATAATCAATAACCTTATTACTTCTGCAATAACGCGAAAGCACTGTATAGATTGCATCCATATTGCTTGGCCTAAAAATAAACATGTGCAAACAAATAAAATGCACCCAATATATATATACACACGACTCATTTGTGAAAAGCAATCATTTGTGCTGAGAAGAGCAAAACTGCAGTTTTGAGCTAATCAGACAATGAAAAAATAAAGACAAAACAATAGAAGCTTAATTATTATTATTTTAACATGTTAAAAATACAGTCACATCAAAATTGGATACACAGTTATAAAACTGTTGCAGATGACATAAGAAAATAGTGTGTATATATTTTATATATAAAAATCTACAGTATTTACTACTGCTGATACATATTTTGGAGCTTTGTGTTGCTTGCACAAATAAATTGTACAGCTTTGTTATGAGTTACAGAACCATCGTTAAACACTGAGATTATTACACTTAGCCACAGTATTATATACATACATTTCTAAGCTGCTATAAGCAATCAGAACTAAGGTAATCCCAAGTCATATTTATCTTCACAATCTTAGAGTTTCAGTGTAGTGCTTTGCTACCATTACTTCGCTGCAGTTTGCAATCCTTAAAATATAAAATTGCCCAGTTCATTAAAAATTACATCAGACACATCATATACACAAAAAGTTTTTGAAATATACTAAGTAAATGTTACTTCCATTTGTAAAAATTGTTTTACTTCTGTACCTTAAAACTTACAGAGCCAACCTGCAGCAATAATAGGCACTAAAGCTCATTCTTTAAAGGAAAAAAAATAATCCACTTCTATGTCTTTAATTAACAAATCTTACAAAACAAAAGATAATAGGACAACCTTCTAAACCATCCAAAACTGATGGTGATACCAAATGCTTGGTCCTTAAGCATCAGAAAATCTCTCTGCTAAGCACTCCAAGGACCTCTTCTGGCAAGATCCTTATCTGCCTCAACTCCCACTGGCTTCAATGAGAGGTCGGTGCATCCAGCCCTTCCTACCTGGCGCTCATCCTACACGGGCCACTTTAACCTGCACTTTTGTCACCCCTGTTTCACAGTCAATGAAAGGAAAACACAAAGCAGAAGAAGCTGCAAACACTCGTTAAAAACACCTTACCACGAGTCTAAGCTTCCTATTAGCAGTCAGGTTGATTTTAGAGTTTAAAAAAAAACAAATGCATTCTCTCAGCAGCCCATGCCCAATCACAGACACGAGTCTTCTGGCTCTTTGGGGGGGGGAAGGGGGGAACAAAATAGAACTGACATGACAAAGCTTAAGAGAAAGGACACTGCACATGCACACAGCTCAGGGGATATCAAGTCACAACCAAGTCTCAATCTCCTGCGTGTGCTTCTTGAGAGCATCAAGGAGCCAGTAATCCTCTGATACCTATGAGATTTGGCCTTGCAACCAATTTGTTTAGTTCGACAGCACAGCACGGCAAAAAGTGAAGGGTGCAGCACCATTTCTGGATGTGGCATTACTCTTACTGCGCTCCCATATTTTGCATATATGACATTCTGAAGGTAGATTTAGGTGCAAAGGTAAAAATTATCCACTTTCAATTCACCTAAGAAACTAGAGACTGCCCTGAATTTTAAGCACCATTCCTTAGCCAGATTATAGAGATGCTTTTGGCTTTCTGCTCTTGCCTGTCTGCTCCTTCTTGCTGAGGAAAATGACAAACAGTAGTCAAAGGAGAGGAAATTAACTCTCACATAAATTTAAATTAATAATCCCAAAGTATCTCTCCTGCCCAGAACAGATACTGGGATACTGAGGCAGCTGTATAAAAATGACAGAAATTCCCATTCAAAATGAATGGCTTCTCAAATAAATTACAAAGAAAAATTAATACGAAATAAAAGTACTTCACAACCTCTGTCCAAAGTTAAATGCATTTACATTTAAGCTCTTTAGTTCTTTTCCAGATGCATTTGTGTATGCAAGCACACACTCACGCACACATACTTAATACAGTGCATTAACAATGTCAGTCAAAATAAAACTCGCAAATGCGTTAGGTTTTAGGCAGAAAGATCATAACACAAGTTATTTCAATTGAGGGAAAATGACAGTGTTAGCCATATTGTGTATATGATCTTATTGCTATGTCTATGTGCATCAGATCACTTTCAATAGCTTCAATGCAAGTCTAAGAACTCACCTAGCCTTCAGAGAAAAGTCTGAAACAGCTCTGAAATAGCGTTGTTACTTTTGCAGAGTCACATGAATTGTCCACATTTCATAGAAGAAATGAGGTGGACTACTACTAACACAGTAATGTATAACTGGGTTTGGATCTTGCCATTTTAATAAGAACAGACATTTTCAGAGAAGCACAGATTCATGCATAGATAATCCATCATTTCTATTTCGGTAGTGTTGGACTTGGGCTGATGGATTTGAATATTGGTATTGTGGTGAACCTTGCTCTTCAAAGGCTGGTGAAGTCCTGTATCTTACTGAGCTATCCACAGAAACAGCAGGAAGACTATGGTCTTCAAAAGGTGTTGACTGAAAATGCTGGTATTTCTGGAAATTATCCAAGTGGCCCCTGTTAACATCTTGGCTCCAGGGCTGCCTGTACGGTTCATGTCTATACACGTAAGCAGCATCTGGCCACTTTCTGTCTTCTGGTAAATAATCCACTGGAGGCATTATGAATTTGACACCTGTAGCGGACCTCAAGTTGCTGGTGTAAGCATCGACAGGGGCTACATCTATCCGAGTAGGGGCTGGTGAAAGAGGATTTTGGCGACCCGCAGGATAGGAATTCACTTGTAATTTATCAGGAGAATAATCTGCTGAAATAAAAGAGCCATATGGCCTACCAGAAGGGCTGGTTCGATTCCCACGATAATGAAGAGGTATAGAACTTGTATTGCTTATGCTGGAGATATGCTTTGGAGAATTTCCATGGTAAGTCGGAGGATTGCTATAAGAGGGCAGCAGCTGCTTTGTGTTTAGTCCATGAGGTGATCCATCAGATTGCAATGAATATTTTGGAGATCTGGGTTGTGAAGTAAAGGTATAATTGTTGGACATTTTTAATGGAACAGGTATTTTTTCAGTTTGTTTTCTTGGACTGTTAGTGTATGCTACATGCCTAGGACTCTGTGGATGAACTCTCTCAAGCATCTCTTCAACAAGATTCTCATTCTCATGATCAGCTTCTGGAACGTTGTCATACTGTGATGCATTAGACCCACGCTTACCCTCATCAGCATCCAAAACCCTCATCTTTTGTTTTACATTCAAAGGCTGTGTTTCTGTAGGACTTGGTGGTGAGCTTGAAACAGAATTATTTATTGGCCTTCCTTTCACCTCCGCCGTAAGTTTCATAGTCTTTTCAATTATTTTGATATCAGACGGTTTATTCCACTTAGGTACAAATTCCCTTCTTGTATGTGAAGTAGCATTAGAATTTTGGTTAGCAGCTGCATTATCATATTGTTTTGAGTTGTCTTGCCCAGTTGGCTGAGGTTTTCTTCTGGCATCAACCTCATTTTTAGATTGACTACTCTGAGTGTCTATCAGGCGAGACTTCTGCTGTTTTAAGGAAGGTTGTTTTTCCAGAGAATTAATTCTTTTTCGGTTATTTGGTGAATTTTCTGGTTCTTCTACAGGAGATGGTCTCCTCTCTGTCCTTCTTATTGTTTGTGTACCAGTGCTATTTTGTCCATTAAGCATTGGAGTGGAATTAAGCATAGCAGGCTGAGGTCCTGATGGAATTTGCCCCAACGGCTTCTTTGGAAATTCATCTTCTTTACCTAAAATAAGAACAGTAATAACATAAATTCACATTTGAACAGAAGTCTTCTTTGTTCTGTTGGTCGTGCAACTAAAAATAACAAATTCAATTATCTAGGCCTCTCTCTGGGTCACCATTCTGTCAAATCTCAAAAGTATTTTATGGAGACTGAACAAAGATTTTGTTTAGGCTCCCATCTTAACCAGGCATTCTAATCCTTCCCCCTGAAGCTGATGCATTATTGGCAAGCTTTTGCTCATTGACAACTCTATAGCAAAAATAAGTAAATTTAAAAAATTTCTCTCCATAATGTTTTGGCTGCATTGCCTATTCTGTATGTACCCCACCCAGCACTGTCCCCATCTAATTAAATAAACCAATTTCCTCACTTTAAAGATCCTTTCTGATATCCCTCTTCTAATCCACTGTCTTCAGTGCACTCATCTTTTACTGTTTGCCTCTGGTAAACCACGCGCTCAGCTCTGCACTTACACGTACAACCTCTCCAGCAGACATTTTGGTAGTTTCTCTCACTACTTTTCTGGGTAGTTAACATTTATTAACATCTGCACAATTGTCTTCATTCTCCCTCAGTCCTTGTTTAGGGAATGCCTCAGTATTAGAAGTCTACATCATAATTAGAAGACACTATACAGAATCACCATTTTATTCAGTTTTCTATCAGAAAAATTATACATTGATTCCTCAAACAAACGTTCAGTGGGCAAATCTCACCAAACTCTACAGCATCATCTACAGAACTCTGACACTTCTGGTAAGTCCTTCCATTGCTGAGTCCAATACATCACAACAACCATCGGTAAACATCAGCTATGTGGGGATTCAGAATAACCCGCACTGCCACTACAGAAAGAATAACGAGGTGCTTCATTCATTGATGATTTTTGTTTGTAGAACAATTTACATCGAATTTTCCACACCAGACTCTCCTTAGAAGGCAACACCCTTCATGATCTTAGCCAAAGTCTTTTATCACATCTACTTGCACGTAACTTCTTTAATTGTATAATGCATTACTTTTCCCATTACAAGTAGAAAAGGTCACATACTTCTCATTACATTTATGAATCTGAATCTTACTCAATGTTCAGCATTTCCAAAAACAAACAACTTCTTAAAGCCAGCCAAACGAATCCTACTGTGCACCTATTAAAAAAAGCACTACTGTAGAGAGGAAAAAAATACAGCTACCCTGAAATGTTATGCAAAATAAAACATGTAGAACAGCTATAAATAAGTTTAATTCCTTCTCCTTCCTTGTATACGAACCATCAAATCTTCCTCCATCATCAAAGACCTTGAAGTTACTTAAGATCTTGGAAGATTTTAAAGTTAACATCACTCTTTCTAGTTATTTGTAATTAAAATTCCCTTTAATTGTCTATAAGAGTTCATGTGAGTGAAGACACAAACATTTCTATCCCTGATGTGAATGCTGCACTAAGAGAGAGAGCCATATTAATTTTTACAGTCAATAGTATGAGTTCAATTACTGGTAACTGGTTCATGCTAGAAGTACACAGAGGAAAGCCAGCAGCCAAGGTCAGTGTTATTTATTGTAACAGCATAACAAATTATCATCATGGATCAGTTGCTATATAAACTAAATGAAAACTTACAGTTTGTGCCAGCTAGGATGTAGCAAGAAGACAGCAGAGAGAAATACAATGATGGTATGAATCATGACAAGATAGCTAAATAAAGAGTACTTAAAAAATATAGCCTCATTTTGCCAAACAATTAAACTTCCCTTCTCTTGGTATTCAGAGTTTTCACAGGAGGACAAAGTTTATATGGAAACATCTTTTCCTTTAGAAAAACACAACTTCAGAAACTTCATTTTATATATAATAAATCCTGCCTACCCAGGTTTTCTATAGAAAAATCCTTCCAGTCTTGTTTTCCCCAAGCAATCCTTAGCTTAGTTACAACCATACAAGTATTAACATACACAAATCTAATCTCTTGCATTGAAAGTACTCATGGTACACATTGCCATGCCTTAGCAAACAAAATTACTCATGAAAAGCCCCCACCCTCCAAATGTAAGATTCTAGATGTTAAATACTCTTACATAATTACACACCTGGCATACTATCCTCTGTGATGCACAAGACATGCAAGAGTACTAAAAGTTACATGGTAGGACCTTAGCATCAGGCACCAATGAGTGGGTCTTGGAAACAAAGCATCAGTTTGTTCTCCATCTCTGTGGGGGCCCATGGTTTTCAAATCAGGCTAAAATCTGAAGCAGGGATCTGTAGATTTGCACTCCCAACAGTGCATCGCTAGCACAACAGAAGATGAATGAGTCGCATGGATGCTGCAAATGAATGATTTAACAGCTCTGCAACATACTCTCTTCTGCACCAATCTCTTCAAAATTGTCTATTACTGTCAGTTTGGCAAAAGGCATTTACACCATTTAGGTTCCATTTGCACTCACTAACACAGTGGAAAGCAAAACTAAAGAACCTATCTTCTAAATACAACTGAATTTTGCCCATAATAAATATTCCCAATATTGAAACTGCCTATTACAATGCTTTCAATCTTATTAATCTTAGTTGTTAAAATAGCATGAAGCCTGAATTAAGAAACAATACTCAAGGTACATACCACATATTTGTCATCTAAATTACACAGAATACAGACTTCATATGCTGCTATGCGTATAACCTCCATGTCAGTTATAGTATGCTATTAGAAAATGGCTCCTCAGCATCTGCACTTTATTTAGTTTCTCCCAGTATAGCATAACTACTTTAGTAAAATGATTTTTAATACCATCCTTGTAATTCAGCTATTCAGACTATATGAAAAACAAAAAACGTGACCACAAGATCAGTTCCTGTAGTTCCTGCAATGCTTCCTTCGTTTGTACAGATATTAAAGGCATGAACAAATTTCCTTTTTTCCACCTTCTACTCTCTAAGAAATGCACACAGAGCAATATGAGATCCTTTGAAATACACATTTAAGGTGGGTTTTGTGTTTTGTTTTTTTTTGTTTTTTTTGTTGTTTTTTTTTTAATTTCATGCACTTAAGGTTTCTTAATTACCATTAAGCTCTAATAAAACCCAAGTGAGAATACAGCAAATATTCTTACTGCATTCTACCTAGGCTGCTTTGAAGATTGCTTTTGGTTGTCTTTCCTTTACATCTGAGGGTAAAAGGACACACTACAGTTAGGTACATGCAATGCACCCTGTTTAGACAACATATATTATAACATGAATTACAGGTGTGAAGTGATTATCAGAAGTCTTAGCATTTCTGCTGTGAAACTTTTACAGCTTGGAACTAATTCATGTACTGAGCAATAAGCAAAGTGTTCCAAGACAACAGTAGTTCATTTAGAAGAAAACCTTTGCACTCTAACAGCACTATTTCAAGGCCTCTGCCTTTTAATAGGCTGCTAATACTGGAGCCTCGAGTTCTCACAGAAAGCAAAATTATGGCATAATGTTTATGTGCAGAGGGAGGGGTCAATGAGAAAAAGAAATACAGCTCTAAATCTTAGCCACAAAGCTTCCACAGAATTTGTTTTAACTTGACCTCAGACTGAAGCAACTGAGAAAGCTTGCTTAATCAACCACGTTTGCATCTGCAACATTAGGAAAGGCCACGCTGCTAGGGATGCTCAGTTGACTAGCCAAAGCTACAAAGCACATGCTCAAGTCTGTTTCAAGAAAGGCTTCAGCTCTCAGCACCTCCTACCATAACAAACATTGGAAGGAGAGAAGTGGTATAAGGATCCATGGTTCTGCAGCACAAAGATATCCCCCAAACTGGTCAATTCCTAAAGGAAAATTTGTTTTAATAAACTGAAGAAAAAAAAAAGAAAGATATTTAATTCTGATTTAAATATACAGATACATACATACATAGAAGCATGCATGCAGCTGCCACTTCCAGTGGAACTACCAAAGTACTTTACTCTTTAAATTTCCTGAAGTTTAGAAAAGTCCACACAAATAAACAGGTGGAGGATAACCACATCTACAGCATGCTCATTATTACAAGGAGACATTCCTCAAATGCACGAAACAGCATGCAGTCTATGTCTATGAATGCTCTGAGCAGTCCGCCATCACCAACAATGGGAAGAAAAACACATGATGCTGCATGCAGGCAAAAAAGAAAGAAAGAAAGAAAGAAAAGGAAGAGAAGCAAAAAGCAGAGGAAAAGAAACCACAGTGCAGAAGCAAATGTAAGAAATTAAATCACAACAAACATCTCCACTGTTAAGAGGTACACATACCTTGCCAGAGAAGTATGCAAAAGCACCAGTTCTTCTGACAAGCTGTGCATCTCTTATCTCCCCATTTTCCACTCCAAATATGCCTAATGCCTCTCATGCAGCTCTCAGCCATCATCTTTTCTATGACAGCTAAACTCATTGTTCACATTTCTGAGATCTGAACATGCAGAAATTTTATCTGGATGTTTTCAAGGGCATTAAATTGAATCTGTTTGTGCTGTTAACCCTAAGTCTGAGCTAATTCACATTAGAGGCATACATTCCTATCTGAAGCTATACGAACAGAGGGCCTTTTGAATCCTACTAATAGTACTTCTGGGACAAGTAATCTTCTGTACAACGTATGATGTTTACATACAGTGCTTAAAGGCACTTTAAACTAGAACATAAGACAAAGCTGTCCCGCTCAGCTGGTAGATGTTTTGGCAGCAGCCTCCACAATCAGACTTGCCTTTATCTTTTGAAGCTAACTGGGCAACCACATTTTTTCCCAGGCTGACAATATTAGCACAAGATGCAGAATTCTGTCTTCTGTCCCCATATTCCTTCAATAAAACCGCTTTCTAGATGCAGTTTAGTTACTGGCTTTCCCCAGAGACAAACATAATAGTTTATATTAGAATTTACAGAGCTGGCAAGACAGGATTTTCTATTTTTCATTCAAAAGAAAGGTAGTGATTGAGCTGGTTTGTATACAGTATAGTATAAAACAAGCAAATGACAAAGAAAATAGGGCAAAAGTGTGGGAGAAAGGAGAAGAATGGAAGTGGAGGTAATTTAAATGGAAAAAGAACAATCAGGTGCTTGTTTGCTGCTGATAAATATATTGCCTAACATGAAAAGGACCAAAGCAAATATAAACAGATCTGACTGCTCCCCAAAAGATAAAAAAAATTCAAGTCATATTTAAGAAAATTTTGGTCTACTTACTCCTACTCTAGCAAGTCTTGGTCACCACCCAGTGGAAGTCAATCTCAACTACAAGACTTTTACAGATAATTGCTTCAGGAGGCATTAGCAGCCTCATGCATTGAATAGCAGACATATAATTGGAGTAAAGTGCTTTAAGTGCTCTCTCTGGTGAATAGCAGTCTAGTCCTTAATTTCAGGACCAGAATACATGCACTCTGACTGTTCTAACACAGTTTTCAAGGATGGTAATGGTCATAAAAACAACTCTTAAAAAGACATCTTGATATTTTGCATTTATTTTCCCATCTTACTTGTTCAGTGACTTCCCATCTTACTTGTTCAGTTTACAAGTCCAGGTACATTTTAAAGAAGTTTAAGTGCCTGAACCAAAAGCTCAAACTGCTGCCAGAAAGTCACTCTCTCTTCCTCCTCTTTTGGAGGAGATGCTCAAATGAAATCTTGCTTGACAACTTGATAATGGTAGAACAAAACACACTCCTTGCCTTCCCAATACTGGGTCACTTCGGTAATACTGACAGTAACAAAAAAAAAAAAAATGTCATAAACATCTACATTTAGAGAAATAATAGAAATGTCAACAAAGTTGGTCACTGAGGTGACACAAGTGTTTAAGTGGTTTCTCTAAAAAAATATAAAAATAATGTAAAAAAAAGGAATCCATTCTTTTTTTATCCCTAACTCCGTATTTCTTCCAGAAAATACACTTCCCTGTGCTATGAACAATAACCAACAGAACTGAGTCAGACTCAACAACAGCATGCAAGTTTTTAACAGTAAGCATTTTTTAAATGATGCAAAGCCTAGGTCCAAATTGCTGAAAATAATATACTAATTATATTAGTATAATTCTGTAAGTGCAGTTTTCCTTCATAACACTGTAAGGCCATATCACAGAAGAATCAAGGCAGAAAAATTACTTGATTAAAATATGAAGTGCATCATATAAACTGCTACTTGTGTGTTCTTCAACAACAAGTGAAAAATCCAAAATTCTTCTGAAACAAAACACAACGAAAAGAAGTATACCATCAGAAACACAAGTCAAGTTGACTCACATATTTGCAATATTTTGGCTGTCAAAAGATGAATTAAGAGCAGAAAACCAACATTATTTAATAGATCAATTACATATTTCTGCACTGTTGCAGGTGAGTATTTAAGTTAGATAAATATCTGCATAAAAAGCACTCATAACAAATTTACTGAAACATACCTCTAAAGATAAGTAGCAGGTATACATTTACAAAAGGAAGATGTAAAATCCTAATTTTGCTAATTGTCTCCAAATATGGAAAAGACTGGGAGAACAAGAAGAATATAATCAGCTTAATGCAGGTGTTTCCAGGCACTAAAATAGTTCAGATGATCAAAAGAACAATGGCAGATTCCAAATTAGGCAATATTTTCTTAAAATTAAGATGTAAGACTTCATCTCTGACTGAAGGCCTTCTCCATTGCTGTAAAGTCTATTATACTTTCACAAAAGAAGTCCATCCCAGGATCTCTGTCTTCTCTTTCCAGGACACCTTGTATCAAAATGTTGGGCATTTTAAGAATTTTGCTGTTCCTTTAAATGAAAGATAAGAAAAGGATCTGCATCAAGCAATTTTGAATAACAGTATATGCGAGTGAAATTCTTTCCACCATCTCTTGATGAAAGAAGAGATTTGTCTACTCTGCCTCAGATCTGGCTCCTTGAGAAGATACAAACAGGAGTCTCATGAATTTAAGCAACTGTGCTGTTCAAGAACCTGCTGTGAAGTGGACACCCTTCATAGTGTTCCAGTCAACCTAGAAAATACTAATTGTCTTCTCTACTAAATCTGCTTGAGGATATGTCAGAAGAGAATTACCTTATAGGACTGTCTACTCCATAAATGTCACAGCCTGCTCCTCTGAAGGCCTGACAATAAGCAGCTTGCTTATCCACTCAGACTTCTGCCTCCATACAGTCACTGGAACATAGACGCCTACCTTGGGTTTTGAGAAGAGCAAGTAACGAGCCATACTCTGAAGGCTGCAGTTGCTAAGACCATCCTACGTAGATCAGTACTTAGAAGTAGAAATTAGCAGAGAAAGGCATAAAAATCTGTGGTCTGCTTTATGTAAAACAGTCCCAGTGCTGGCAAAGGCATTTAGCTGACATCCAAAATCAGGCTGATCAATACAGCTGTGCTCCTGGAACATCAAGTGTTCTGGCAGAGCACCTTAAGGGTTTCATCAGTGCCAAAGTGTTTAATAAAGTCCCTTCTCTCCTCTGTGCTCTGAAGGTAGAAAGGAACTCCTTAATACAGTGGGAGAAGCCATGGAAGAAGCAAGCCAGGGAAAGCTACATTAGATACTAGCAGCCATCTACTTTAAAATAACACAAAAATTACCTCTTTAAATACTCTACTACTGTTTATTAGGGCAGGAAAATCTATACAGCTAACAAATGATGCCAGATGGAAAATTCTACAGAGCTCAAGTAGCTCTCTGCTATTCCAGGATGACTGATACTGAAGCAACTGTAAAATGGAGATATTTTTCAATCATTCATTTTTACTTTAGCTCTTAGAGATGTAATTGTTGCTCAATGCAAAAAAAAAAAAAAAAAAAAAAAGTGTAAGACAGGAAGTAGTAACTTTATTTCAGCTGAAAAATAAAAATAAACATCCTTTTTCAGGCTGTAGTGAATACTTAAATGAACAGTTTGGTATTTTTGTGCATATTACTGCATGACATAAAATGATTTCATAAATTTTATATGAAATTAAATGGAAAACAGTAAAAAGAGACCGAAGGTAGAAAAGATGGTAGAATGGGACAGAAGTGAGCAAAGCTGAATGTCTACGAAATCTGGAGAACTTGTGCAAAAACATTACTGCCTGATGACAGTGATTAGTAAAACCAAAACAGAAAAAAAAAAAGAAGAAAAAAAAAGACTTGCGAAATTCATACGAAGAACAATGAGGCAGCTTCACCTAACTACAGAGAACAGCCGAAAAATCAACCAGATTTCCAAGGATTAGGCTAAAGTATTTCATAGTTACTCTGTGAGGCTTTCCCAGGCTACTTTCAAATGGAAACAAAAGCTCACTTCCTCATCTAGCAACAAAATATAATTCACTTGAGCACTGTTTTTCCTATTTTTATTTTACTGCTCAATCTTCCTGGTGTAGAGAACCTGCTTTGGTAGGGGGTTGGACTCGATGATCTCTGGAGTTCCCTTCCAACCCCTACAATTCTGTTATTCCTCACTCATGTTGGAAAAAAGACGACATTTTTAAAGCAACTGATGTTCCTTTAGCTTTCCAAAAGAAAGAAACAACGTGGATTAAAACAGTGAGTTTCCTGCCAGGTAGTCATATCAAGACTCACACATACAAAATATGAAACCATACAACTCACATTCAGCTTCAAGAAGACGTATTCACTGTTCACTAACTTTTGCTTTTGGCTTCTATAAGATGACTCCCTGTGTCTCAAACAAGGTATCCACTTTATGGCCTTTGACATCACAGACAGCTTCCTTTAATTGTTTTGCTAAGACTCAATATTCTGAATCAAAATTTCACTTGAAGGCTTTTTACATTTTCCCAAAAAAAAAAAAAAAAAAACCCTAAAACATAAATCAGATAGGAAATGCCTGCATTTATTTATTTGTATTTCATTCAAGAAAACTTACAGTGTTAGTTTTACTTACTGTATTTCCCACAAAAGCTCTCACTATAAGTTGTGTCTATGTTATTTCCCAAGGTGGAAAAAACAGGAATTACATCACATAGTAAACTACAAAACGTCCCATAACTCTTCAGCTACCATATTTTCAAGTAGAAAATAGACAATCCACACTGGTGAAATTTACTTGACCACATCCATGAACTAAAAATAACTTGAGTTTCTGAAAGGCAGCAAAAAATCTCTGTTCACATGCAATCACTGATAACTGTGTATTTACAGTTTAACAGAAAGCACTCCAATGCACCTATCTTCCTCTACCAAAATGGATTGGAATTGAAGTTAAAAGACAAAGTAGTTCATTAACATATTTACTCACATCCAGTCACTGTGATCAAGCATCAGCTGAGACAAGATGTTTAACAAAAGCTGACAACTGAAGGGCAGTGCTGAAAAGTGCAACTTGTTCTGAAGAATAAGGAAACATTGCAACCTAGCTTAGGAAAATGGAGAGAAGCAGGGAAAGCTGTGATTAGAAAGGGGAAGAAGCAGCATGAGCAGTAACACGAAGAAGAGCTGCAGACTCACTAAAAAAAATAAGCATATGACTAGATGAAACAAGAATGACGAGGAGGCAATTAGGAGCAAGACTTAGATCTCTATTTTGGGTAGGAGAAGGAATAATGGGGGATACGTTGTAAAAAGTCAGAATGAGGGAAAAGCATAAGAATGTGGAGCAAGAGAAACTGGGACAAGAAGGTGATGGGAAATAAACACACAGAGTGTCTGACTGCGTGTCCGAGAGAGATCCACTAAGAACCTGAAGAAACATACATATCTTCTCCTGATGAAGAGCCCTGAAACTCCAGTACTGAATGCAGTAAGTAAGGTGTACTGAAACACAGAAATGAAATTCCATACTGAAAGAGCTTCAAGAGGAAACTGTCACCAGACTACATAGGCAACCTTTATTCTGACATTTCGTAACTTCTGTAATCTAACCATAACAACTTAAAAGTTAAGGCTGTTTCTGCCATTATTTTATTTTATTTTAAAACAGGTTTCTTTCTCGTGTACTATTTTACAAATTGATGAGGATAAAAAAAGAACTAAGCATAATCACAACAAAATTCAGTTCACTTGCAGAGGATAGAAAAGTGATCAAAAAGATGACAGAATCTCAGTACGGGAAGAAGAGAACCTACAGACATTTCTTAAGTCTTGTCCTGAGAAACAACACTTACTGCTCTGCAACTGAACACAAAGCATGAACACAAAGGGTGAACAAAAATGAAGAAAATAATTCACTTAAATACCCAGAGGCTGTATCACTTACAAAGAATTAAAAAACTGGATTGGACCAGCTGTCTGACCTGATGTTTGTTTCATAGCTGTCCATGCTACGAAATTATTTGTATTCTCAGACAACAGTGTTGCTTCAAATAATTGGAAACTCTGATATTTTATACATCAGAATTATCAGTTCAGATCAGGGATGTCTTCAAGTGCTGTGCCATTAGCTTGTAATCAGTAAACAGAACAATGAGCAAAAAAACCAGAACTCATGAAATGAAGGGTGTTGCTTCTCAATTGTAAAATATTTTGGAAGAAATAAGTATGCAGTGATGAAGAGACAACCATTTCCACAGTCTCTACCAGAATGAATTAACACTTTAAAAATAGACAAGGTGTAAAAAGCTCCAAGTATCTAAATCTGCATCTGTAAAGTATCTTACCAGCTACTGGTAAATCCAACTTTGCTCGTTTCAATTCTGATATAGAATTTTGGAGCTGTTCTATTACATAGTCATCTTCATAGAAGAAATCCTTAGCTAGAGTCTCCTGCAGAAATTCTACAAGCTCTTCCATTTGTAATTTCATCAGATGTTCTACACAAGAAGAAAATACTATTATAAATAAAAATATCTTGATTAAGAACATAACATTTCAAAAACATATGCACAATATCAGATGCTTTTGTTGTTAAAACAGAACAAAAAAAAGGCCGATTTGTTAAGCACAAAATAGAACTCTGCACTAAAAATCTAAAAAATGCATCAGAAATTCACTTGCAAATTAATACAGAAATGTTTTCTATTTAGAACAATGTTTTCCAAAAAGGGGCATCTTCTAAAAGCTAAATACAAGTCACCTGCCTTTGGTTTGCTTATGTTATCCAACAGTTTTGGATCTTCATTTTTCAGCCTGAAGCCCCAACTTACAAAACACTGGTATAGATCTCTAAAATACACATCATTTATTTAAAAGCTTTCAAAAGCAGTAAAACAGTTTAAGATTTGACATTTAAGGTATTCTCATTCACAACTGAATTAACTTCCAATGAAATGGTTATGGCAGTTCAGAACCATTGCTTCAGGCATTATTTGCCACTTCAATTAATTCAGGTCATATTCTGAAAGCCGTTTTATAGTTACCAGATTCTTTTTCTTTCCCATTTTACACAGCTATAAGGCCATGTTTCCTACACAAACGTTTTGCTTTCAGGGCTGTAACTGCATGCTTATACAGTTTCATAAGGATAAGCTAGTGAGCAAGGGATGGCATCAATTCTGCAAAGTTTCACATAGACGTCTAAATTTACAAAGAGTCAATTTATTTCACTAAGAAAATGCAAAAGTACCACAGGTAAATGGTATCAAACTTGAGCTACAAGGTATCTATCATCTGGAGAAATGTCTAAGGATATTAAAAAGCTAACATTCATTCTCAGAATTGGAACTTCATGTGCTATGGGGACAGGCATAGATGGGCAGGCACTATGGGCAGGTATAAATGCTTTGGACAGTGCTTTTGTTCAAAACTCCAAATCTTATTTTTCCTGTCAGAAAAAGATGGAAGAAAAGATCATTTGGACAGACTACTGAAATTCTGAATTTTAATGATATTCTTGAACAAACAGCACTATAAAATGAGATACAACACTGGTGGTTCATTGTTGCTGAATTGCTTGCTGATAAGAATTTCAGCTATTTACAGGTACAAGATACCAGTCTTTTTCTCTCTGGATTCTTTTAACACTTTTTAAAAACTTACAGTGGCTAGAAAGGCATTTGCAAAGCATACAAGTAGAACATTTTTTGCCTATTTTATAACGAGCAACAAAGCTCTACCCAGGCTGACGTTTAAATAACTTTCTTATTTTTCTGAGAACTTACATTAAAACACAAATACAGCAGAACATAAGATTTAAAATTTGTACGGTGTGACTGTATTTGTCTATTTATGATTAAGTAAATCAAGTGTGATTTTGGTATTAGCATCTAGAAGCCCACTGCAAAGATGGTACAATTTTTCTTTGACAAAAGAAATCACATTAATAAAGGAAAGATTTTGCTCTGCTTGTTCATAAGGAGAGAAAAACACTTGTCATGAATTGCACAAGGCAAAGAAGAAACTAAGATTTTTCACATAAAATAAGAACAAAACCAGCAGAAAGCCTATTTAGCATTTGAGCACTCAAGAGATTTCTTACTTCTATGTATCTTCAGAATTGTGTACGACATAGCAGTGAGAACCCGCTCTCCTTCAAGTATGTAGATATCCCATATCCTGAGGCTTAACGTAAAGGGAGTCTGCGATGAAAGAATCAAGAGTGAAAACAGTCTGTTCAAAGCCACAATTAAAGACAGAAGAAGAAAATGGAAAACATACTCACGCGATCAAGGAAACACTGGAAAAACCATTTTGTGGTGTAAAAGCTAGTGGACATCTCCTGAGAGTCCTGTAAAAACCACAGCGTTTTTAAAAATATTCATAAAAATCAAGTAACACTTTATAACGTCCATCAAAAAAACTTTTTATTCAATGGCCTTGTGGCCAATAAAATCAGTATTTTTTGGCTACGTGAAATACTTCGTTTTAATCAAACAAACATGATTTCCATCCTTACAGGTTTTTTTTCCATCAATTTCCATCCTTAAGAAAAGTCCTTGTCAGTACTTACCAAGTGCTGCTTAAGTTTGGACAAAAACTTATTCAGTATTTTGTCATGATGTTCTTGAAACCTCAACAGTTTCGGAAAACCAGGAATAAAAAAACCTAAGAAAAGAAGTCAACCATGAAATGTGTTTATTTACTACAAAGACAGTAACATGAAAAAAAAGGGGGGAGGGAGGGAATTGAGAGCTCTAAGAATATTGCTCTTCTATAGACCACTGGATCTGAACAGATATTCATAGCAATATTCTCATGTCCGTGTACAGATATGCACACATTTCTGCTTAAGGGACCATAGTAAGACATCACTACCTTCCCCTAGTGACTATTATAGGTTAGTAATGGTAGATAACATCAGTCTGAATCAATCCTATGCTTATCTCACTGTAAGTCTTCAAATCTTAAATAAAATTAAAAAAAAAAGATGCTGTTTAATTGACCATGGCATCTTAAAAATTTTGCTTATGTAGAGCTCTCTCCCAGGAAGCAAAATCAGATCCACTGATTCAATATATAATGAACTGATTTAAACTCATTCCCCAAGACATCTAAAATTTTCTGTGGTCACTGAGGAGCTCAATGTTCAACACAGCTTTGTTTTTATGGCTTTTGATTACTACTAGATCTAAAGATACAGGTTTAGATAAGATTTTCTTACTCCGTGTTACTATTGTGTAAAGCTCCAAGCAAGTCTTTGATTATTTATAAATTCTTTTTTTTTTTTTTTTTTTTTTTGGTCAAAAAGGCAATGGCTTTGTTGAAGTACAAACAGAAAAAAGCCAACCAGCACACTAGGTTAAAGAACACTGAACTAGGAAGCTAGGAATAGGATAGGGATAGCATAGGAATCTATCATGGTATGAGAATGTCTTAATGGAAAGGAAGCTAGAGCCTGCTGAGGATTTAAAAAAATTAAAAAATAAAAAAAACACAACCCACAACCAGTTTCCAGACACTATTTTCTTGTTCAGGTGTCCAAGAACTAAAGCTTTGTGAACCACTATGTCATTAACAAAAAATAATGGAATTCCCAGAGTAGTTCTTTCCCCTGGGCATGCAGTATGCACAGTCCATACTAAATATGACATGGAAAGAGAGAATAATCAATAACATAAGTGTAACAAGACTAAGAGTGCAGGAAATGCTGTGTGAGGCAAAAAGAAAACCAAGGAACTCAACATTAATGCTTACAGCGTGATTTTTTTATTTCTTTTACTATGGATTCCCGTCCTGCCATGTGATAGAATAACTGCAGTGTTATTTAATACATTCTGTATTAATTTTCCACTAGTCTTTTATTGCTATATAGACATCCACATAACCAGCTTTCAACTAGTTACATTCCTTTAGAGCGTAAGGGGAAGGGCAACATCTGATTTTCATTAAGAACTATTTGAAACCGACACAGAAAAACAATTATTAAAAAGTACGTGAACTTTGGTAACCTCCAATGGCATCCCAGTATAAAGCTCCAGTTGTGTTTTATACTGAACATAAACACATAGCAGCATGGCTCCATATTCAAATAATTCACAACTTAAATAATCAGGTTGAAAGCTAATATATACTAAGTAACGTGACACACCATACCGTGCATAGCATGCTTTGGACCCGAGAGAAGTTTCACCAAGGCCCAGAAGGCATCTTCTTCATTCATGTACATTAGGAGTAAAGCTGTGATCTGGCTCATTCCCTGACAGTATCCAACTTCCTGAAAATTACACAGTGAAAAATATTAAATTTCCAAAAGCAAAAGCCCCACACCCATGAGCTTTTAGCTTTTTTTGAACTGGCATGGCAAAGAGTCTGCCTGTCTTGATAGCATGCGGCATTTCCTAATTATGGCTCCACCACAAGCATCTGATTTCTGAATATCTAAAATACTGATAGATGGAAGGGATGATGCTCAACAATTCATCTGAAAAATAACCAGGAACTCTCTAACAATGCTCTAAATCAGGTTTAACAATAATAATTTCAAGTAATTAGAACATCTTATTCCAGAAGGGACACTTTTTCCACTTAGATGCCTTTCCCTGTGGAGGGGGGAAGATATTCTTTTGTCTTGCTTTCCAACCAAGGCACCCTCTGATAAACACGGCAATTTTCAGGAGTGACCTGAAACTACAAACCTGCTCACGTTTAGCAGCACACAGTAATTAAACACAAAGGGAAAAAAAAGTCCAGTTCCAATACTAAATTTGAGCAACTTCTCTGCTATTAGTTTTGACTTTTATGGCAGGAATCAACTGTCGCTATCATTTCACTGCTCAGATAACTCCGTTGATAAAATATTTAGGAAAATGAATTAATAGTTGAATAATCTTTTCCAGCTTTAAAAGTTCTTCTTAAGAACTTTGCTCTGGAGATAAAAACAAAGCATAAGAACTGTGACACATTAAGAAGAAAAATACAATAATGCTAAAGCAAATTAAAAACTCACTGCAGCATTCCCTTCGCCTGTATTGTAACAGCTGACCTTAAAGAATACTTTGCATACAACTGGCAGACATCAGTCTAACGCTGCACAAAAAATGTATAAAGGAAATTCTTCCTTCCAGAGTTTTCTCAGCACTTACACTACCAACAAAAAGCTTAAGACAACAAAGGAAATGAAAGGTGACAAATGCTAGCAATGTAACTTCATTTATGAGCCGAATAAATATGAGCAGATTGAAACTGGAAATAAAAGCCACATTTCTTAGAACTCCAAAAATTGAAATGAAGTGATACTTCAGTAGAATAACTGCTCAATTTCACTCTTACTCACAACTTTGGATAATTTCACATTGAATTGTAAGGACTTGCTGATGGATGTAAAACGAAAGTTGTTCAAAAATGATCAGAACAGGCACAGTGAACAAGGGAATAGTGCATAAAGCAAAATTAAATTTGGACATAGTAACTTTTCTCTATTTTTAACATGCAGTGAAAGGACATTACAAAATAAGCAGGCTTCTACCCTTACTCAACTCTACTTCCAAAAATCCTCATTCAGGACTACAGTGAAGACCAAATTTAGTACCAGAATGTACTTTAATATAATACACTGGAGCATACCTAAAACAAAGCTTAAGTGAGGAAGATGCAGCCTTCAAAACCTTGTTTGTTAGAACATTCCAGGCTATGAAATGCATACTTACTCCCTGTATGCACCTTTCTGTAGTTTTTCCTCCCATCATTCAAATGATCTTAATTGGCAAATAATATAACAAGAAGAAATAGCAGTAGTATGAAACTCCAGCATAGCACAAATTCATTATTCTTACTGAACACTATACTTGATCTCAGTTAATCTCTATGTACTGCTCAGTCTGCCCAGTAAGACATTCCTAATCAAGACGCTTTGTTTCAACTTCAGTAGCTGAAAACGTGTCAGCAGGCAAATCATTCATTTCTCTGCATTTCCAAAGGTCTCTGAAATGTGTTGTGGTTTTTGGGGGAGAGAGGAAGAGGACACAGAATTGCAAATAAACTTAGAGCACGTTCAGAGTAGCAGAACATGAAAGTACGCAACTTACCGTGTTGTATATGGAATATGCAGCTAAAACGTGGAATAAAGATTGTTGCCTGGAAAAACAAGAGTAGAGAAAGAAAGTGCTGTAATACTGGTTTCATAAAAACAGAAAACCACAAAATTAGTTAACTGTATTTTGGAAACTTGTTTCTCCAATTTAATCTGTTTGGTTCTGAAGAGCAGTAATAAATGCTTCCGATTTTAAACCAACATTATATTTAGCACTTTCCTGATATTTTGCTTGTTTAAAGATTACAAAATACATCCATAACAATTTGAGATGCCAATGGTGTCAGACCATTATTATTACAATTAAGGGATTTGAGGCATACATGGCATACATGTCAAACACTGATTTATTCAGAATGACTGACTTTAAACACACCACACCAAATTTGTTTGCAGAACACTAACAGCTGTTACTGATTGCAAAGAGTTACACAGAGATAAAACACAAAGCAGGTACAGAGGTGTCTTAATCTTGGCACCCAAATTAAAAGCAGCTTTAGTGACTGCTACTGTCAAACAGTCACAATTCCAACTCTCCATCCTATGCTTAGTCCTTCAGAGTATATCAAGCCCTGCAATTCTAACAGTGAAGTACACACAGAGCTTTGCCCCTTGCTTTCCATAAAAACAGCTTGAGTCATCTTGCGTTAAGCTGTGAATGTAGTAGGACAAAAATATATAAACTCCACGCTTCTCAAATTGGGACATCAAAACAATGGAGAATTCTCATAATACGTTTTTAAACTCACGCCTACTTCCTGTGATTTGTTGGGAAGGGAATTTGGAAATGTGAATGCCTCCTTTCAACTACAACTGCTAGAGTTTAACTCCTGAGTCTTGTACCCTATTGTGTCCAGTGAAATTCCCTCTGCTTGTCACCGATCAAACGTATAGACAAATATTTGAAGATTATAAAAAGAAATCTTGAGCAAAAAGCTGCTCATTTTCTGTTGGGAAGGAGGATACACATTTAGAGAATTTTACCAAAATATCTAGAGATTATGGCATTTTTTTTCAGTCTCTTCAGAAACTGGAGCTTACCTATTCTTAGGTAATAATAAAAAAAAATGTAATGTGAAGTACTAGTTATTAATCTTCAGTCTTATTTTACAAGGACAAAATGAAATAAAAAAGTTAGGTTCCAGATACCATCCATGAGAACCTTCTGTTATCAGTTATGGGAATTTGAACGATATGAAGGCCAACGTAAGAGCAAATCTCCTTCACAGTAAGATATAAAAATAACGGTAATCTTAGTACTATTTACACTGGATGGTACCACTGAAGAGTTGTAAAAGAATGACCCCTCAAAAATGTAAAGTCCATTGAGAAGTCAAACAAGCTATTGATTTACCTGGGAGACTTTATTTCATTGCTATACGGAATGATTTCTCAATTTTCATCCACATCGCTGGAAATGTATAATGCATGTACAGTAATTCCAAGTTCTATTCCAAGTGTGAAATTGAAACAGCCAAAGGCTTTTCCAATACACTCTGAGGACGTGCTCAAAACACAGCCACAAGGAACAGAGCAGGCTGTGCCAGAGTTAGCCCCAAACTGACCGGGTAGCGAGCTTCTGCTTCCACTCAAACTGTGTGGGTTAAAACTAGCTGAGGCTCAGCCAGTTTTGCATAGCACCATGTCAGCAGTACTGACAGGCAAGGCACATCAGCTCCAGTGTAGATACCACAGCACAAACATATCTAAACTACAGTCTGCACAGAATAGTGCTCTCAGCTTTGGGAATTTCTGCTTTGTACTCCATCCTGCATTGCAACCATCACAGAAATTTCCCATGCCTACTTAGAATTTGTCTGCAAAATACCTAGAGGAATAATGTAGGAAAATGTTTCTTTAATAAATCACATTAAAGCTCATAATTCATTGAGTACTGCTTTTTGAAAATAGTACACTACTGTAGATGATGTCTTGGAAAGAAAAAGAGTCAAAAAACTCACCCTATCCTTTCCATCTCAGCAGGGTGCTAATGTGGCATGCTAGAAACAATCACAGAATGGCTGAGGTTGAAAGGGACTTTAAAGATCATCCAGTTTCAGCCCCCTGCTGTGGGCTGGTTGCACTGGGTACACTGGTTGGCTGAAAGTTTGGCTTTGTAACAGTAATGGTGATTATCTCATAGCACACAGACAACTCTGCTTTGAAAGTCCGGAACTCACATTCAACATCCTTTTGCAAATCAAAGAGGTCTGAGGCAGATCAGAAACCAATTATAAAACAAAACTCCTAATTTACTTACTTAACACCGTATCTGTCTCGAAACATAATATGATCTCTGTATGTTCGATTTACATCAAGATCAATTTGCCTAATATCTGGTGAAGACCCTCGTGCTTGACACTTCAATTTCTAGGAAAAGAATAAAAGACATAAGTTACAGTTTTAACTCTCCGTTCCTTATTGTAAGCTCGTAAAAAGGAGAAACCTACCTAATTGTACACTTAAACTCATGATTTAAAATCTTTAATGTAAAATGGCAACTCAGAAACTCATTCAAAAACATACATGTATACACGCACACACAAATTCTATATAGTCAAATGCACATTAACATAGTATAAATGTAAAAAGACCAACCCCAGAACATACACTTTCGTGACAACATTCACTATGTTTCAGCATTTCAAATTTCTAATTGCCATTTCTCATGTAAAGTGCAGTGAGAAAGACAAGTGAATTTCACTGCTCAGGAACAACAGTACCAGTCTGGACTTCCCAGAAATGACCGAGGCTGGTTTTCATGCTTTTGTCGTCTTTTTCTCTAAGCAGAAGAAAAAGTTACATCACAGCCAGTTACTATTTAAATATAGATAATGGATGTTTCTGGACATTTCCCTAGTCATTTCCTCTGACCTTCTGTTTTAATCAATTTAATGGTAGAATAACTCTACTTGCTTTGATGTCTTACAATTAAGTCCAATTTTGCAAATGAAAACTTCAGGAAGCCTGCAAAGGTTGGACTGCCTTCTTACTTTTCACCCTAAAGTAATTTTTTTCTTGACATTCTCTCATTCATTCTTGCTTCTATCCATGAAAGTCAAGTATGTGAGAGACTTCTACCTGTATTCAATTGGAAAAGGCACTTTTATTTAATATCGTGGCCATTCATAAGGTAGAATTCTACAGCTTCTGGTTGCAAGAAAACAAAGGTTTAAAGTACAAGCATCCAGAGTGACTTGTCCTCCAGTCAGAAAAGAAGGGATCAGAAAGTTTTAAGATGGTATGAGAACCCAGAGCCCATGATTTACTGGAACTATGGGAAAAGAAGTAACCTGAGTCCTAGTCATGATGAGAGCCTCTAGAACGGGCACCTAGAGTCCTGGAATCAGAAATATTAAAAGATTAAGAACTGGATTAAGTTTCCTGCACCAAGGACTGTAAGAAGCAGTTTCACCTCCAACCATGCATCTTCCTTGTAACTTCATGTGTGCAATTTGTAAATGAGAATTATTATGAATCTTAATAACACTTCAGGAAATGGGAAAAGTGGAGAGCAGTTAAATGAGCTTATTGCAAATAAACAAGCGAGGATTATGATGGAAGGAACTCTTACTACTACCATATTTGAACTACAAAGACACTTTTTTGTTTTGCACTAAATGGCATCAATAATCTCTTAATATGAATTAACATTTTAAAATGCTTTTAGTTATACTCAGTATTCTTTCCCACAACTACATTACTCAGTGTGAATTCCATCCTATTCTTTCTGGATCTGCCTCTAGTCTCCCTTATGAAGTTAAACAAAATCTAATAGTCAGAAAGAGCAGCCTGTCAGACTAAGGAGTGATAAATAATTCAAGAAGAAGATCACAGAGACCAAAATTTAGATAACATCAATGCCAACATCGATCTTCTTTCATGACCTTACAAGATTCCATGTCTGCTCAGAGCCAAAGCGGCGGCTCCTGAAGAGTGCCATAAAAATCAAACCTAGCAATGCACTTCCTTGAAATTCTGGACATTTTTTTCTTAAAAGGCAGTGAACATTTCAGTTCCAGTAGAGAAAAAAATAAATACTCTACAATGTTATCTTACCTTTCTGTTAGCTATACTGTCTTCCTACAATCTCCTAGTGCAGAAAGATTGAGAGGAAAAGACTAATGTGACAAGATTCAGTTCCCCTTCTGCCTAAATTTCTGGCCTGCATACAAACCTCAGTCTACAGTTCGGGATCTCAAGTTAAGCTCAGATGGCAAACAAAAATCCACAGAAAAAGCAGAGTTAGAGAAGAAAAGTTGAATTATTGTGGTCACGTACCTCTGATAGGTGGCTTTAACTGCTACTCAGCATGCAGGTGGGACTGGGGTGCAACGCATACCTTTTCCTTTACACTCTAAGTAGGGTTACGCTTAAGTGGTCAATTTTTGCCTGTATCTTTCGGTAGGTAACACCTCAGTATTAGTTACACCTCTGAGAATACAACAAACTAAATGACAGTACTTTGTAACAGATATCTATGCTTCAACTCAGAGGTAACATGGCATAAAGTTTGCCAACTTGCTCTCCCAGAGGCCCTCTTGGCTTTAACAAGACGGAGAAGGCAACAACTCCTCACCCCCTTGAGAACACTACAGACTCCTCTTACTGATATTCAGCTGATGTGGCACTTCCTTAACAGAAATTTCTCAAGGAAGAGTTGTTGTTTCAGAGGAGAAGAGTTTTGTCTTATATTGTTTCACTTTGCTTTTAAGGGGGCTTTAACAAAGATTTGGGAATGGGAAGAGGAAAAATCAAATTAATTATATCAATACCAGAACCAACAGATAAGCTGGTAAAGTGCTTTCCAATACATGGGGAAAAAAAAAAAAAAGAAAGAAAGAAAGAAAAAAAAAAAACAGTGAAATTCAAGGTAATTTGTAATATTGAGATTAAAAAAAAAAAAAAAGATTAAGTGGAAATTCTAACAACTCACGCTGTACAAGTCTTTCATTTCTTCTTTCATTTTAGGGACATCAAGTAGTAAAGACCAAACTTGCCCTCTGAACTGCAATGGGATTCCTTTATAAATTCTCCTGTGAAACTGTAAAAAGAAAAGAAAGCATAAATGCATCCCAATTCACAAAGTTCTGAATAAAAGAAATGGTGATATGAAAAGTGCTAAAGACAAAAAGGCAATTTTGTCAATTATCCTGGCAAAGGGACAACTGGCTGGGGACAAACCATCTCAATCTTGAGTAAGAGTCCAGCGATGCCTGCGTTGATGGAATCAGCAAAGGAACAGAGAACAAAATGGACACGCAGACAATCAAGATTTCAGTATGTAGGAAGTCAAAATTGGATTGCCTTTGCTAAGGAGCATTTATTCCTAAAGTACTGCAAAGAGAACTCTAGATTTGATAACACACATGGAAAAACAGATTCTTAGCTACACAAGGTTTCAGGACAAACCACAAATAACTCACTATAATTATAATGTATAAATGGCAATAGTGAAAGGCATCAGGCAGTACTGCAAAGCTCTAAAAACTAGCAGTACAAAAATGCATTGCTGGTTTTTGCATTCTTGTAAAACTGCAGTGTATGTATGTGTATCACAAGCATGAGCTCACTGCAAACACGGGAAACGCCACAAACTAAAGACTTCAGACCATATTTCTAAATTAATAAGCAAGTGTTTTAATATGCGTTTAGGAAAAAGTATTTGCACAAAAACAACACACAGCAGATATTCCAGCTAGAGTTTCTAAGACTACAGAATGACTTTACACCACCACACAGAATTCTTGGCTGTGAAACTAAACATCAAATTCCTTGTTCCTGACACAGTCTATACTGACACACAGCTTGTATTAGAAATGGGTCACAAAGGGACAAATCGGTACCTGTGCAAAGCTAGAGTAGTTATATAAACTACCTCATGTCAGTCTTGCCTCTGACACACCACTGTTCTTCCATTTTGATTTAGTGGGTTGGTTCTCACTGGGTTTATTTGAAAAATCAGGAGCACTGACAACTGTATTCCTAGCTTCTATTCCAATTTGCATTTCTTTTTGCTGCAGCATTTAGGAGCACGAAGATTTCTAAACAGAGAAGTACAGACTTGTTGTCTTCAATCTTGGCTTTATGCAGCCAGGAGAGACCCAAGGTAAGCCAACCCTCAGACAATGAAACCTTACTCACTCACTCTCTTTTTTAGCCACACACAAAGAAAAGGTTATCTTCCTAAAAACACGGCTGAGCAAAGGAAAATCAGAGAATTCACAAAACAAGGGTATCTCTAAGGCCAGATAAAATCCACGTCTGGACTTAAGAATGCCTCGCTCTTACACAAGTTTTTTGATGGTCATCTAAGGCAAACACAACCTGCTAGGGTTACAACTCTTTTTTTTTCTGTTCCTTATTCAATTGTACAAGATATTACAAGATAGATCCTGGAGGCCATACACACAGAAAACATCAGAGATGTTAAGGAAACTTTGGAGATTTAATGCTATTAAAATTGTTTAAGTAGGAGCAAGTCTAGCAGGAGCATAACGACATCACTCCAGCTGTTTCCTGCAAGGATGAAGATTAAGCCAAAGTGCTACAAAGCACTCTTCTACCGATGTACATCCAGACTTCAGCTCACACTGAGGATTTCAGTGTACGTCAACCCAAACACAAGAGTAAATGCTTGAGAGAAAGGATAATTCAGTCTTCCGGAAGCCAAGCAGCACCAATTGCAGTGGTGTCATTCTGCACAAAGATTAGCCTGTCTATTGGAAACCAGAACGAGCTAAATTTGCCAACCTTATCTGCTAACCTGAAGGGAATGTTACAAGCCCCCAGTGACATTTAGCTGTATTCCTCAGGCCCACACTACGATAGTGTATCTTGATAACAAGGCTTTTTGCCAGACCACTATCATTTTGTGACTTATTACCAAATGTCTCCAACAACTGTCAGATTGGTTAGCGAGCAGAATAGGCTGAAAAAGAAATCCTTAAGAAGAGTTTTGTTCTAAAAAGAATATTTTGGGGAAAGGCTGAGTAGACATTAAAGGCCAGAAATAGGCCTTTGTGACATTAGTTGCTTCCTGAAATAGTTAAATCCAGACAACCCAAGCTATGGGCATTACTTCATGAAACAAAGCTGAAAGAGAACAATGATCAGTTTTGCAGATGACTTTCCAGTTTTCCCATCTTCTGCATTTCTCAGGCTGAACCAACTAGACACTAAAACAGTTCTCAAAGCAGCTGGGATAGAGAATGGTGGAAGGGCTTTTAAAAGAGAAGACTGAAAAATGAGTTGTTTTTACTAACTTTGAAAAGAGTGGAAAGCACTAAGACCAGCAGCTTGGTAAGCCCACTGTGGTTTGAGAAGAATCAGAAATGCAGTGGTGTCAGATTAGCCTGTCTACTGGAAACCAGAATGAGCTAAATTTGCCAACCTTATCTGCTAACCTGTGTTACAAGCTCCCAGTGACATTTAGCTGTATTCCTCAGGCCCACACTACAGTAAGGAAACATATTTAAATGCTGGATCAGAATTATCACACTGGCAGAACAAATCTAAAGAACGTTCAGAGTTTTTTGCAAACCATTCCACATCTGTATCCAGTCAAATTCACTGTTGAAGCTCCCAGTTATTCCAGAACATGAGAAGAACCTGCCTACAGACTAAACAGAGCACAACACTAAGGACTTTCACTGTCTGTCAGATAAGAAATGAGATATGAGACTCTTTTATAGGTCAGATATGAGAGATGAGTCTCTTTCACAGCACAGGCTCCATTACACAAACAACCTGCAAACAAGAATGAATAAGTTTTTTATGTAACAGCAAATCACACGGCTGCAGTGTCTCAGGGCTGGAGGGGAGGAAATACAAGCATCAAAGCAAAGCTCATCTCTCATTATCATTCAGTCATCAAAAAGTTAAAGAACACACAAGTGAACAAACTGATTATTAGCCAGCTGAACATCTGTACCATAAGTACCATACTACTGCCCTCTGCTGTCTTTTATTTCTGTGTAAGTTTATCTTACGTTGAGAACTGCAGGCTAAGTATATATGCTTGCAGACCCCTAATCAAGGCTCTGCTCTCTCTAAATTAATAATTAAAATAAGTAGTAGAAAATTTAGCAAGACACTTTATTTCATCTCCCTAGAAGTAGAACAAAAAGCAAATAGTCTTCAACAAATTCATTAAAAATAAGGCTTTCTTAAAATAGAAGCTCAAAAGAAAACACAAACATATTATCTTATAAGTCAGATAAGCATTCAGTGAAAACAAGCATCATTCAGAGAGTGCTGCTGTGCAGCCTGGAATGCTTCCATCATTAGATGACACTGAGGAAAACACAGATATAGTAGACAGAACTACGTGAACACAACTTAAAAATGTAGGTTCAAATTCTTTATCACATCTAAGCTAATGTTCAGCTAAAGACATCCATTACAAACTCTTGGAACTATCACTAATGTTGCTGATTCTGGTAGATAGGACACACATGCAGCACGGTGAGGATCCATCACTGATTCCAAAGGAGCGTCTCATGCAAAAAGAAACTGGAGCTGCAAATTGCACTTTCTTCTGTGAAACTAGAGAATATACAGAATGAATTTTAAAAAGTTTATAAGGAAAAGAGAAATGATTAAAAAAACCTGACTACTAGACTTGCAATAACTCAAATCTTAGCCATCATCTCAAATAATGAAGATATTATCATCCAATGTTCAATATGGCCTCTATCCTAAGAAAAAAGAAAAAAAAAAAACCAATAAAAAATACCAGCAAGTCTGCAACTGCCCCCTTATTCCTAAGTCCCAGATTTAAAACTGATAATCCAGTTGGTACTTGGCCAAGAAACGAGGCCATCACCATACAGTACAGGTTAAAGAGCAGGACCTGGCAGTCAAACTTCTGACAGATAGAAAACTGTCTTTTCTGAAAATAAAACGTCTTCAGTTATGCTAGGAAGAGCTGCACATGACACAGAGAGGTTCTGCCACCTCAAAAAGAATTAGCGATGAGAAGCATCAAAATTAAAATCTGAAAGTCCACAAGAAAGTATATTTATAGTGAAAAGAAAATATATTTATAAAAGCTGCTGCCTTTAGAGGTCCTTCAACTTCTGTGGATTGCATAAAGGAAAGAAAAAGTGCAAATTCAAGAGCTGCTAAATCTCATTCAAAAAAATCTGAGGAATGAGAAGAGGGTTCTTCATTAAAGCTCTGTGTTCAGATTCCAAACTAAGTGGCGACTTGATTATTATATTCTGTGTGAATGCCAGAACAGCTGGAAATTGCCAGCTACCCTGATTGTTTCAATTCTTCCTTTTTCTCTCAATTTAAGTGACTTCAGTCACAGCTAGATGAAGGTAGACAGCAAAAGACAGAAATACTTTAGTGGAAATACTCAAATGGGAATGTAACAGTTTTATTTAATCTTTCATGAAAGTTATGATCATACTAAGCAGGAAAGATTCAATATCCATGGTGGTTGATAGTACCCTGGGCTATTAAGCAGTAGAATACAAATAGAAAATAAAAGCATAAGCTAGAGAAACACCACAATGAAAGACAAACTCTGCTACTCTCTGACACTTCCTGCATAAGAAATGACTGATAGGGAGATGAAAGCTTTGTGTGATTGATATTTGTCAAAACAAAGACACAAGGACAGGTCCGCATTTCAGAGACTGGTGTCTGTAAGAATTATGATCACTCCTCAGAATAGATACCTAAATAATCACATAGGAGGCAAGGAGGTTACACAGTTACGAAGTGTGCTTATTTCCATTACGTCTTCTTTCATTACCTATAATTCATTGCTCAAAGATGGAAGAGACTGACATTTTCCTGGTTCAGTCTTTCTCCAGTTCCTCGTGGTCACAGGCTGCCCTCCCCCTGCTTTTTTGTTGTGAAACTTTAAAGCACAGAAGTTCTAATGGGGAAGCAAGATGAACTCCCAAGAGTTCCCACTTCTCTTGAGATCTTCTTCTGCAATAAGGACTAAGGGAAGATGTAAATCGAAGCATCTCACACACACATACAAACATATCAGTGTGCAAATATCTTCTCATTAATTCTCCTTGCAAAGAAGGAAAGAACTAAGGAAGCAGCCTCCAGGCAGCTATGTAAAAGAGAATTAAAAGAAAACTATACTTTGCAGTTAGGTGTATGACAGCTTTGGATAATGTAATCAATAGCAGGGATTCATTTATGGTATATTTATGGAATGAACAGGTTGCTTCAAGCCCAAACTATCGTAGGCTCATTACAAAAGGGCTTTCTGAAGTCCAATACTTTGCAATACCCACTCCATCCTTGAGACCATTATTTTCTCTGTCTCTCACTCACTCAAGTAGGTCATTTTCCAAAACCAAGCCAGCATTACAATTATAATCTGTAACTACAAAAATTACTAATGTTGTTTTCATCACTGCAGCAATGTTTTGTTCAGTGCTGTTTCCAAACAGCTGTGTTTTCAGGAGCAGTCTGACTGCACAGAAACCAAGGGACTGCCAGGTGAAGTGAATCCTTCAGTGACAGGCTGTTTGGTTTGCTGTTTTGTTTTTTTTTTTTTTAGTAATTTGCTCCTCTATTGCACTTTATCCAATCAAGTGAAGACAAAGCAAGAGTCAGGAACTGTTCTTGCAGCTTACAACTTACTGCTTTTGCTCTTCAAAAAATAGGGTTGGAAATTGGTGTATTCTTCCAACATACTATAGTAAAAACTGTCTTCATCTGCAAATTTTATACAATCATAAGAAAAACACTGTCCATAAACAGGAGCAGCAAATAATGTCTGATTTTCCACTGCATGCTGGCTGGGAGGAGGGATTTGATTCTATATTGTTTGTGTTCTGATGCAAGAAAAAAACAAAAACATCCTTGTGCTCCATCAGGGTCCAACGACCAGTGAAAATTCCTAGCCTAAAGCAAAGCTTATACCCTTTATGAACATTCTGAATTATTCCTGCCATTATTTATAGTTCAGTCTATAATTTGTTACATGAACTGAAGCTCTTTCTGCTCAGCTGATCTGCTTTACCTTCCACGTGCCTGGTGAAGAGGATCATTCAGTTAAATCAATGGACAACGGACTGATGTCACTGGCAGCTGAAGAGGAAGAGCACTGCTGCTTAGGCAACACAGAGCTGTTGTGTTCCCTGAAGGGTGGTATTTGACATACAGCAAACTAGGTTGCTATTCTACAGCTTTTTTTGAGCATCTCTTCAATTTGTGAACATATCTCCAGATCAGTCAGTCACCTCAATAAAGAAACAAAGCCAGATGTGCTATGAACAGAAAGAATAAGAAAAGCTTTGGAAAAAAGTTACCTTCTTATGCATTCACTGTAGATTTAAAAAGCGATACCCTGAAAGACAGCTGTAACTGCTTTTGACATGTTAAAGAAAAGCAAATAAAGGCACTTAGCAGCCTCGAAAACAAAGGCAGGATTGCAGACATCATGAGTAGGGGACAAGTAAACTTCCTGTTTCAACTGTACTATCTCCTATTTCTCTGCATATCATTCTAACAAATATCCTTGTCTCAGTCTCTCCAATTGAAGTTCTTTCATTTTGCAAAGAATAAATTAGTGAAACAACAGGGTAAAGGAGCAAGCAAACTCTGTAGGACATTCATCCAAGCAATGACCTGGGATGTGCAACAGTTGTCCTTTGTCCTCAGCAAAAGACAGGCAGACCAGCATCACCAGAATGCATCGACAGAATCTCCTCAACAAGATGTGAGTTTTAACAGATCTAAGATGACCAAGAGGACATTTACAGCAAAGAATCTATGCACAAACCCCACTTACCTTTCAAAGTGAGTAAAAACACTTGGAGCTTAATGGCCTGCCTAACATTGCTTGACTTCTGTTACCCCAGACCACTACTCGTTGTCCAAGCAGGTTCAAACCAATTCTGTAACTAAAAATCTGCAAAGTGGTGCCAAGAGCTTTAACAGGTAATTTGTTTACTTAAAAAATCACCTGTAACTTCACATAGAAAATCATTTTACTATTTATTTCTTTAAATCAAGAAAAGTTGTAGCACTGTTGGGCTGGGTTATAAAGCTGCAAGCATATTTCAGGGATTTATCCCTGAATGGCTCTTCCATATTGATCTCCAAGCAAAAGCAGATCCTATTCATACCATCAAAAAATGGCTTCTCTTAAAGACTATGAAGGGAGTTACATATTATACATGGGGGGAAAAAAAAGAAAACAACAAAAAAACCCAACTTATCCCAAGGCATAGAACAGCTTCCTGTACTTTTTACTTGAAAACTTACTCCAAGAAACTCTTCTTTTAGCAAAGAAACCATGCATTTTGTGATATACTAAAGATATCTTTGCTGGCAAGCATGATAATTTAAACATCAAACTACATGCCTCGTGTTATGACTAATCAGTTTCCTTGGAGAGTTATTCAGGCAGTTTCCACGGAACAGTGACTGCAAGCCATCCTAGGCTGCTCATCAGTAAACTTGGGTTGCAAAAACATTAAAAAAAAATAGAAACCACAGAAGATCAGTAATAAAAAAAATCCTCAGATCTTGTTAAGTACCCCAAAAGAATAACTTTAAATTTAAATATTAATTACAATAATATCCAGCAAATAAATGAATAAAAACATCACCCCAAAGTTAAAAATCATGATCTCTGAAAGGGAATTATGATTCCTGCAGAACTCAACTACTCCCATTTCAACTTGCTCCCAATTTTTAAGCTTACAAAGATTTTCCCTTCTTCCCTCCTTCTCACTCTAAAAATGTAACCAAAAATAAGTTTCTGTAACACCAGCTAGGTGCAAGGGAAGGCCAGCAGGTCAAATGCTTCATCTGCTCCTAAAATTATTCTGCAGTCACATGAACACAATTTGCTAAGTGACCCAAACTCACAGCATGCAACACAATGTAACACACAATTACTACTATGAACAAAGAGTACTGTCCTTCATAGAATCATGGAATCACAGAATGGCCTGGGTTGAAAAGGACCACAATGCTCATCCAGTTTCAACCCCCCTGCTGTGTGCAGGGTCGCCAACCATCAGACCAGGCTGCCCAGAGCCACATCCAGCCTGGCCTTGAATGCCTCCAGGGATGGGGCATCCACAGCTTCCTTGGGCAACCTGTTCCAGTGAAAACTCCCTGCATTTGCCTACTGCTGTTGGTTTTTTTTTTGTTTTTTTTTTTTTTTGGGACGGGGATTGTTTTATTTTGTTGGATGTTTCTTCATTTGTTTGTTTAATGTATTATGGCTTTTTGAAAGAAAAAAACAGTTTTCTTTCCAGGTGTATTTTTTCTGATCAAAAATAAGACAACCTAATTTAAGGTTACACATTCATTCAAAAGTGATAACAAAAAAGGATGCTTTACTTTACCTTTTCAGTATTCTTGTATTTTTCCCAGCTTTTCAGCATCTTAAGCCATTTTGTGGTCCTTTCAATTTCAAGGTGTTTTTGCTGAAAATAAATTACAGTATGTTAATCATCTCAAAATGAACACATTTTAAATTATTAATTTAATGCATTTGTAAAAACGTCGAGAAAAAAATTAAGTGTAACATTTATAGAAGTTACTTCTCTACACATTTTTTTTCCTCAAATACAAAAATCATTTTGATTTGTTTTCACACTGAGTGATTTTTCAGGCAAATAATTTCTGCTGCAAACAGTTTAAGTTCGCTGATTCTGCAATGAATCATGGAATCACCAAGGTTGGAAAAGACCTAAAAGATCATCCAGTCCAACCGTTCACCTATTCCCAATAGCTCCCAATGGTGGCTGCCCTTAGCCAGCCTTACCCAGGACACATTTAGCTACTGCTTTCCAGCAGCCATACAAACCATCCCTTCGTAAAAGGCACAAAATAAAATGCAGTACACACCCTGACAGAAACAAACCAGTATACTTCAAGTGACGCAGCAAACCAGTATACGTTGACCTCAATAACAATTCATAAGCTTTAAATAAAGGACATGTATGAGTGTATGCAAGAAAAAGTGTGGCAGCAAAAATGGGACTATTTCTGGTCTTGAAAAGTGATAAAGTTTTGCTATAACTCACTGTTGGAGAAATTATTGACAAGAATCTTCCAGCAACAAGGGGATAAAATAAGAAATCAAAAAATACTATATAAAAAATAAGCAGTTTAAACAGAATAACATAATAAATGTTATTTCATACTTCTATGCTCCACATGGCTTTAAAAACACTGGACAATGTCATAATCCTAAAGATAGCTACACTTGCCATCAACTTCTTGAATATGGGAACCAAACAAGCACTTGCAGTTATCCATTTGTGTCCCTAAATTCCTGGCACTTCAGCTTCGCACAGTCACAAATGCGCACTTCTTTGGCTCTGATGATAACAAGATTCACAAAGTGGCACTTCTACAGCCATGTTTTACACATTGTAAAGTAGGTTTCATATCTCTGATTATCCTAGAAAGAGGGAGGAGGGGTGTTTTGGGCTTTTTGTTTTCATAATGCTTTGTAGCTGAGGATCAACACTGAAAAAAGTAGAGCAGAAAGCTTATCTGTGTCCACTGCTTTCTCTTCAAACGTGAACATAAGCAAATATTCAGATTTTTCATAAAGGCCAGTCCCTCTGCTTCCCACTTCAAATTCAGAAGTGCAGCTCAATGACTTCTTAGATCCGTTCCAACTGTGATTCAGTCCATAAGGTATACAGGAAAGAAGGGGTTTGGTTTGGTTGTTGCTATTTCTTATTTGGAAGTAAGTGCTACTCCTATCTCAACCTTACTTAGCTAACTCTTCATGTTGCAATCAATCAACTGCTCACGTTCTTGTTCAGGTTCCACGCTGTATTTGGCATTTCCTAAACCACTTTTTAAACATATATGTGTATCTATGTATATATATTTATAAAAAAACAAAAACAAAAAATAAACACTTCCTTAAGAGTTAGGTTAGAAGGAAAGAGTACATAAATGACTGCTTCCCAAATTTCATGTTTCACATTACTGGTTCTGATTCCCCTCCTCACACAGAACCCCCTTAAGAAACAAATCTTTTCAACATCTCAGAAGCAGATGTTCTCCAGGAGTAGTTTATTCTGCTGGAATAACACTGCTATTAAGTTAGAAAAGGTCTCTGCCCTCAACAGGTTTTCCAGATAATTGCTAAGAAAAATGAAACCCCATCTGCTCTGAAGTCTTTCTGTTTGTATGTTTGATCTACTTTCAAGATAGCTGGTCTTCTGAGCCAAAAGCTCACTTCAATTGTATGTTTGTTCAAGCTTTTATGTCTTCTGTGTCAATTTATCCCAGTTCTCATGTGAACCTACTGTAGTCAAAACAGCAATTATTTCTGTGTTCTGTTGTTGAAAATTTTTTGCTCTTTTTTTTTTTTTTCCCAGTCGGAGTTATGTTCACTTTCATGTTTAACAGGTGCAACACTGGAAACATGGACAGATCAGAAGCAGCTCATTGCAGAGTAGAAGGATGCTGCTGCTGCTCTTTTAGACAAATTCCGTGTAATTGTCACAAAAAAAAAAAAAATTAAAAAAAATCCATTTATCAGTCTTACAACTATTTTTTTTTATACTTTGAAGCATTTTTGTCATTGGAAGTAACAGAATCCCTAACTGAAAAAGAGAAGGTCTGTCAGTCTGGTGTCAGTAAATAATACAGTGCTGAAAAGAAGAAGTGTGAAGCTCTATTGGCAGGTATCCACCTTGTGTGCAGTGCTCTACCTTCACAGACAGTAAATGTGCTATAGCTGAGGCTCAGAGCAATGCCTCAGCAGAAGCCTCAGAAAAAAAGTCTGACACAGACTCCAAACATCCTGAAGTCCGTTTCGTGTCCACTTTTCTATTCTGAATCATCTTTCCTCCTTTAGTTTTATCTCAGATGTACTGTGTGATTCATATGAAGTTCATACTGTAAGGACAACGTGAAGCATTGAAGTTATCAAATGTCCAGCAAGGTAAACAAACCATTGAAAGTCATAGAAATAATGCCCATTCCAGAAGTACTGCACACAAAAAAATGACAAAAAAAGACACCTGTGCAAACCTTGCTTGAGCTTTACACTGAACATGTATGAAAAAGGATTCAAAGTTCACAAGGATATACAATGCTTTACATAAGCTGCAAACTTCAAAGTGCGACTTAAGAACTTTCGTTTTTAAATTCACAGTTAAGTCAAAAAGAAAGCATATATAATTTTGCCAAATAAGTGACTTCAAAAGATACTGCCTAGAAAGCTTCTAGTGTTAGCCTACATTAATGTGACACTTTCATTGTTCTGTGAATGGTATCCTGAAATCAGCAAAGACTCAATCACCGCTGATAGAAAGACAGATAAACCTCAAACCAGCAGAGGTCAGGATATCATCAGGAGTATAACCAGGAGTCTAACACAGGAGCATTGCTGTAGGATTATAAAAGTAAACCATATTTGCAATTTAACACTGATTCAGTAAATACAGTTTCTACACTGAGATTTTGTCTGAGATAGCATGAATGAAGTATGGGACAAAGAACTGAGACACCATTTTCATGCAATAATTTAAAGTTTACTAGGGTCACAGTGAAACAGAGCTCCAAAAACATATACCATAATAACTGCAAGCTGTCCAATGTTTATGCTCATAGGCTCGCTACCCTGCTGTGTCCACCGGATGGAATTGAAATTATATACAGGCTTGCTATGTTATTAAATGTAATAGAACATGGCAAGAAAATGCAACTGCTTCAAGCTGCAAATGCAGAAATATATATGAACTGACACAAAACAGAAACTCAGAAGTTCACTTCTTTTATGAGAAAGACTTCTTGCTAGCCCTGTACCGACTCCTTAGTTTCTGTGGTGAAGAAAATCGTATTTAGAAACACTGCTCTTAATATTCAGAGTTGAGTCTTCCTAAGATGAGTCACTCCATCTCTCTTCCATGCACTTCCATGTACTCATTTGTGCAGCCAAAAGAGATAACTTTAAGCTTACAATTTTAAAAATTTCACGAGTTTTCTGACGATCCAGAAGATCAGTATGGAAAAGATAGTCTTGGAGACAAAAAGGGCCTGACAGAAAAGGCCAAAGCCATTGAAAGGAGCTCGTCTTGGCCAATACAAGCAGAAACGCAGTTCCAGTGGTTTTAGTAAAAGCTTTCCACATTATTAAAACACCAGTTCCTAAACTTGTCCTCCAGCATCCTCCAATAGCATGAGGCTTTCTGAATGAGGGCCTGCACTGGCTGCTGGCATGTCTTATGGAAATTATGGAACACTTATGGAACACACCTGGCTTGTCAACTCAGCATTACAATGGAGCTCATCATACCATAGCGAGTGACAGCCAGGTTATCTGTCATCATTTACCACAGGAGAAAAGCATGCTCCACTTGTCAGGAGAAGGCAGCAGATGCCTCAGCACCAGGTGCCACCTCACCTGGACACTGCATCCACCCAGTGCAGCTGGTGACAGCTTGAGATACAAACAGGTCATCTCACCCCAGACAGGTGCCTGCCAGCTGGGTCCCTTTCGGGGCAGACCTGGGTGTGTTCTGTTAAACAGCTCTGTTTGCTTTACAGGGTCAAGAGATGGGTGAAGAAAGCCTATACCTCACTGCAATGAGTAATTAATTACACTACTGCATGGGACCCCAAGGGATCTGTGTTCATTAACACGGCCTCAACAACCACATTCCTTCTGGGACTTGGAACCGTGTCTTTGGGAACACAAATCACTAAAATGTTTCATCTCTTGATTTCACAATAATTTATATTAACAAGTCATGAATACTTAAAAGTTTAAAAAAAAAACTGGAAGACACTGAACTTACTTTTTCTATTGCTGCATCATGGACAGGAAGCTCCTCTGGACTGAAAACAAAGAAAAATCATATTACTCTAGGCTTATCTTGGCACAAAATCATTTTTCTATAGGTTCTTACAAGTAATCATTTCCAATAGCAATATGCTGTAGGGAGTAAACTTCAGATTGTTATCACAATGGTATACAGAAACCTTTGGGATTTTGTTTCTTAAACACAATAAAACTCACGTTTTAAGTAAAATAATGTAATTACTTTAACATTAAACCTTCTAAATCAGAACAGACTGAATAAAAAGAAGCACGGCCAGCAGGTCAAGGAAAGTGATCCTCCTCCTCTACTCTGCACTGGTGAGACCTCGCCTGGAGTACTGCATCCAGATGTGGAGTCCTTGGAGCAGGAAGGACATGGATCTATTGAAGCACGTCCAGAGAAGGGCCACAAAAATGACCCAAGGGATGGAACATATCTCCTACTAGGACAGGCTGAGAGAGCTGGGGCTGTTCAGCCTGGAGAAGGCTCTGGGGACACCCGAGAGAGGCCTTTCAGTATCTAAAAGGGGGGGCTGTAAGAAGGGGACAGACTTTTAGCAGCATCTGTTCTGATAGGACAATGGAAATGGTTTCAAACTAAAGGAGAGATTGAGATTTAGACTGGATATAAAGAAGAAGTTTTCTACATCAAAGGTGGTGAGACACTGGCACAGGTTGTCCAGGGAGGTGGTGGACAGGGCTCTGAGCATCTGATCAAACTGCAGGTGTCCCTGTTCAGCACAGGGGGGTTGGACCAGGTGGCCTTTAATGATCCCTTCCAACTCAAACAATACTGTGATTCTATGAATAGCTTCAAGAGAAAATGACTTTACTAAAACAAATAATCTTTCTTTCTGTTAAAGTACTGTACTACTGACATGAAACAAACGTTAAATGCACACAGCAGTTTTAATGCTTTTTTAAATGAAGATTTTTCACAATACTCCATACTGTATGTTTTTATTTTAGAAATCTAGCCATTTCCAAGTTTAAGAATCTTCACTCCACTCCATGTTTATTTGACCATACAACTGAAATACTCCTAAGAAAAGTCCTCCTTCCTTACTACAGTACCTTGCAAAGACAGAGAGACTGTTTGATCTGGGAGACTTACCTTTTAGTTTTCAAAAAATATAGGTATCTCACTGATTTACAGAGAGAAGGTAGTAAAAAAAACTCAAAACACTTATTGGTAGGCATCTAATATTTTAAAACAGTTTTTCCACTTCTAAGCCCAACTAAAAAGACAGGTTATGAAGTGAAACCTTGAAAAGCAGCCTTTAAACAGAGACATTTTCAGATTTATTTTAATTCCATTCTGAGGGCTCTAACTTACGTTTTTTCTTATCAAAGAAAACTTATGTTTTTCATATCAAAAGTAACTGGACCGCTTTGATGCCAAATGAGACTTCCTTCCTTTGTATGCGTCGTTTGCAGCTTCTGAAAACACAGCAGCTCATCTAAGTAGCAAGGCTCCCTTTTTCAGCTCTACAGATCAGATAAATAAATAACTCAACAAAATCCTTCTTAAAAGGGACTAAAGAAAAAAAAAAAAGCGTCGTCTGAAATTCTTCACAGAAAGAAGAAAAAATGAAAAGTTCCTATTAAGTCTTAATATTTTTAAAGAATTCCTACTCACATCACCATAGACATCTAAAGTGAGGATACCACAACCCTCCAGTTTAGACCAGTATCAAATCTATGCAGTGTGGAAGAAAATAAATCCTTACCAGGAAAGACTATACTAGGGGAAATGGAAACTGAAATCCACCTTCTCTCCTGTGTTGCTGCAGTTAGCATAAGAACGGTCTGATGCAAAACGCTTAGGTAATATTTCATCTCATTTATTTTGTTTAAAGACTTCAAAGATGCCATTTCAAAATGAGACGTTTTATCTGAATCATTAAATACATTTGAATTACTTCATCTTAATGGCAAATCCTGCTCCAATCAACATCCTTTTGGAGACATCCTCTCGTTCCTCCAAGTCTAAGCTTACAGTACACACTTTAGGAATTAAATTAATAGCCAAGACAGTCCACCTTTTGAGCAGCACTGCAATAAGTGTAATTAGTTCATTCAGAAGCATTTTCCAAGTATCTGAAAACTTTCTTTAAGAATAACATCAAAACCCAATAAAATGCCATGAAAGTCTCAGTGTCTGACATACTAGGAATTATAGAATCACCCAGATTGGAAAAGACTCACAGGATCATCCAGTCCAACCATCCACTGATCACCAATAGTTCTCGCTAAACCATGTCCCTCAACACAAAATCCAAATGTTCCCTGAACAACTTCAGAGTCAGTGACTCCACCACCTCCCTGGGCAGCCCATTCCACTGCCTGACCACTCTTTCAGAGAAGCAGCATTTCCTAACGTCCAGCCTAAATGGCTTGAAGCCATTCCCTCTAGTTTATCACTAGCTACACAAGAGAAGAGGCTGACCCCCAGCTCACTACAACCTCCCTTCATGTAGTTACACAGAACAAGGTCTCCCCTGATCCTCCTCTTCTCCAGACTGAACATTCCCAGCTCCTTCAGCCACTCCTCATTAAGACCTGTGCTCCAGACCCCTCACCAGCTTTGTCGCCCTTCTTTGAACCCACTCCAGAGCCTCAATGTCTTTCCTGCAGTGAGGGGCCCAAAACTGGACACAGTACTGGAGGTGCAGCCTCACCAGAGCTGAGTACAGGGGGACAATCACTGCCCTGTTCCTGCTGGCAATACCATTTCTGATGTAAGCCAGGATGCCATTGGCCTTCTTGGCCACCTGGGCACACTGTCAGCTCATGCTCAGCCGAGCATCAATCAATACCCCCAGATCTATTTCCTCTATGCAGTCTTCCAGCCACTCTGCCCCAAGCACTGCCTGGGGTTGTTGTGACCAAAGTGCAGGACCCAGCATTTGGCCTTGTTGAATCTCATGCCATTGGCTTCAGCCCAGCTCTCCAGCCTGTCCAGATCCCTCTGTAGGGCCTCGCTGCCCCCAGGCAGATCCACACTTCCAGCCAACCTGGTATCATCCGCAAACTTACTGAGGGTGCACTCAGTGCCCTCATCCAGGTCATCAATAAAGATATTGAAGAGGACAGGCCCCAGCACTGACCCCTGGGGAACACCACTCACAACTGGTCGCCAGATGGATTTAGCTCCATTCACCACCACTCTCTGGGCCCAGCCTTCCAGCCAGTTCCTTACCCAGCCAAGGGCTGCCAGCTTCTGCAGGAGAATACTGTGGGAGACAGCATCAAAGGCTTTGCTGAAGTCTAGGTAGACTACATCAACAGCCTTTAAGGAAAAGCCTTTATTCATTACTACCCAAATTTATAAGCAATGGATATTACTGCCTATGCTGCCAAATGATTAAAGTAACACATTGAATGTAGGTCCTGCGTTTGCCGAAGATCATCTAAAAATTACTTGAACAATAATAATAATAATAAGCAAAAGGGAAGAAAAAATTACTTGCAAATCTACTTCAGCTTTTTATTGGTTTGTTTTTAACTATAAAGATTACTAAGCCTTTCAAATGTCAAATTTTTGGTTCTTTAGCGATTCCTTCTTCTCTCCCACAGCAAATTTCTGAACAATCTTCTCAGCTGCATGCACTTGCACCTGAATTCAATCTCTGAAGGTCCCTTCCAAATGAGCTATTCTATTCTGCTCCGTCTCACACAGAAGTGTCAGCCTCACTGCCACAGCATGGAGAGCACACAATCAATGCATTCTTTGTGGCCCTGCAAGATCTCACAAGCTCTTGGCTGCACACACAAGAGACTCTTTTTCTTTGCAGTGCTGTCAGCAGCACATAAGACAGCAGGCTGATGGCTCCATAGCCCCACACGCTCCCACAAGGTACAGCTGAACTGGTACGACTTGACAGCTTATCTTCACATCTTCTAATCTGGCACAGAAACTCGTCACGTGAAAAATTAGTCAAATTTCATTTTCTCACAAAGGAGTGGACAAGACAATTTATTAAGGACGTGTTCTCTGCCAATTTTGCAAATAACTACTGATGTACAAACAAAAAGCATCATTGGATGTACTGAGTAATGAAGGAAGAAGGCTCCTTTGTGCTGGGAAACAGATACTTAACTGCCTTGCTAAATTATCCCAGCAGCAAATTGCTTTGCTTGTTATTTCTATAGCTACAGAATCGAATAACAATCATAGAATCATTACAGTTGAAAAAAGACCACTAAGATCACCTACTCCAAACATCAACCCACCCCCACCATAGAACCATGTTTCTCAGTGCCACATCTACCCTCTTCCAGAACACATCCAGGTACGGAGACAATTTCTTCTCAGAAAGAATGGTGAGGCATTGGCACAGGCTGCCCAGGGATGTGGTGGAGTCACTGTGCCTGGAGGTGTGCAAGAACCACGTGGCACTGATGGACATGGTTAGTGGGCATGGTGGGGATGGGTCGATGGTTGGACAAGATGATCTTAGTGGGCTTTTCCAACTTCAGTGATCGTATGATTCCACGATTAGTTAACTATAGAAGTGAAAAACAGAAATTTACTTTGTGATACTTTTGAATAGCAAGGAGAAAGGGAAGAATTCAGTTATGAAAGGCCTGACTACAAATGGAAGAATTTTGTTATATAATTCATAACTCAAGTTGCTGGTTTACAAATTGCCACATTTCAGAACTCAAATGTATTAGGAAGAAGTAGATCTTCCCAAGCATGAACAGTTATTAAACTGTCATAATTAGTTAAGAATGAGTTGTAGGAGTATATAGTAGTGTTAGACAAAAATTAGTATCTTCTTGTTGGGAAATGAATTCTGACTAGCTGTTCTCTTAGGTCTGCCTCCCCTTCAGCTTCTGATACATAAAACTGCCAAAGCAATAAATGACATTACGGGTACATAAAACTGTGTTGCAATAGAATGCAACCTTATTCTGTGCTTATACATATCATTTCCACGTTACTGCCTCATGTCATGAATTATATCTATTGTATCTACATCAAAAGTTAGGTTATCTGCGTTTCACAGTC